AATATATATATACATACAATATATATATACATACATACTATATTTATAAACACATGAATGACGATTGTGTGTGAACGTTTCCCAAGGCGACCCTCCCAGGTTGCTCACTCTTCTGCTCTCAGCTGTTCACAACCTTTCAACTGTGACTTTTATGCCACAGAGACTTTTAGGAATGACTGAACAAACACCCCAGTCTTCAGCTGGCAGAAAAKAAAACCTCTTCCTGAAATGAATTTCTGCACAGAAGACACTTTGCATTATATCCTGCTTCCASAGCCCGGAGCCGATAAAGGAAAACAAAAGATTGGGATGTTTTGAAAACTGGCAAACTTTAAGTCTTTATCATCTCTGAGATATTAATAACGATATTACAAACCTCTGTTTTGTGAATCTTTTATCTTTTCTGTTCAAACTGATATTCTGCTCTGTACGTCTCTACCTTCAGAGGTCAGCTGAGTTTTAAAGAAACAGAAAAACCTCAGTGTTGGTGAGAAAGACATTGTAATTGTGACTCCGGTAAAGTTTTTTTTTATTCTTGAGGAATGTAGGTCAGGTGTATTTTTGACACTTTTTACGTATTTTCTCACTCACACTGCAGGCAGGATGGGTGAAACAGAAAAGCGATGCAGACAGGTTGAGTTGGAGGCTCATGAGGATTATGTAAAAAGCGACCATAGATTGAAAGTGAACCCAAACAGCTGAAAATGARAGTGAGATTAGCTAAAGGCTGTGCCAAATATATTGTTTTCTACTCCAATTACCAATTTATCAGTTACCCATTAACATTTAGCAACTGCTTTAAAATCATCAAAAATGTATTCCTTTTTTTTAAGCAATAACAGTCACTTCTCCCTCTTCTGTTTTAAACCAGGAGATGCTGAAGGATGAGGTGAGGACGCTCACCTACAGGAACTCCATGTACCACAACAAGCACATCTTTAAGGATAAAATAGTGCTGGACGTTGGGAGTGGGACTGGAATCCTCTCCATGTTTGCAGCTAAAGCTGGGGCCAAGCATGTTTATGGGGTGAGATGAGTTTTCTTTTGGTGGTCTAGCTGAGCCATAATGCTGCCTCTCTGTCTATTTTTGTTTGTCTTTAAACCCATGTTTTAGATGAGTTTTATATATTCCTGTCAATGGGGCATGGTTTGCCTTTCAAATAAGTCAGGGTTTTACCTCATATTTAAAGGCACAGTGTGTAGGACTTTGGCTGTGTCCAAAACGACAGGCCGGGTCCTCCGGAGGACCCAGACTACCCGATCGAGGTGGGCCGGGTCCTTGGTAGACCGGGAAGACCGGAAAAAAAGAGGCTGTGAATTTGGACGGTCTAGCCTCCCGTCCTTACATCATGTCACCTAGCAACTGTGACGACGCTAAACAAGCAAACTTAAATCAAAACTAGAAAAATATCAATACATTAGCATTATTAATATCACAAAACAATAAAATTAACTTAAAGATAACATTTGAAGAACTAATTGACCTGCTGTAGGTGCATGTT